TATTTTTATTTCATTTATTTTTATTAAATTAATTCTGTTGCATTTAACCATAAATTTAAAGTTTATCATTGATATAAGAAACAAATTTCATGTTAAGTTAAAAAAAATTTCTTTTGGAGGGGGGTGGTACCCCCCCGGCGGGCCACACGGGAGTCACCTGCGGGCCACATTTGGCCCGCGGGCCTTGTGTTTGACACGTGGCATAGACAAACAAGCCTAAAAAGAAATAAAATAAAATTACTACACACATATCATTACAGAAACACTTAGAGGTTATGGTCAACAAGTGGATTAACTCGCATGACTCTACAGAGACAAAACAGAAAATGTTTTACGCTGGGAAGTCCGACCAACAGGAACGAGCCTATTTTTCCATGTAAATTAATAAGAAAATAACATTTGAGCTAAATGTATACAGTGTAAATATGAAGCAGGAAATCTTAACCCCTAGTTGTGTTAAGGGTTAAGCTGCGCCAACACTCTGTGTGCTAAGGACTGCTGTTATAAAAGCAGTCGTTTCATCAATCCTGCCACCCTGAGTTGGCCATAAAATAAAAAAGCTTTGAGAGCCAAAACTAGACTACATGTTCAGTTTGTTTTAAACTGTCTCTGTGTTCCATTTTTAAGTCATTTAAACCAAATCCAACTCCTCAGAGGTTGAAATGGACACTAACTCCAGCTTGGTTTTGCTTCCCTTCCCCACTGGCTTGTCTTGACACAGATTTTAGAATGCAATATGAGGAGTGACAGAAGAATTTACCCCTATCTGCAGCCACCCTCATCCTTCTTGTGATCCCATCCGAGGGACAACACAGGGATACGCATGCAGGCTCAGAGACAGATACCCTGTCGAGTGTGTCGATAGACGGCAGGGAGCTCTGTTGTGATCTGAGCCAGTGAGCTTCTTCTCTGAATGCTTTTGAAAATCCAGAATCAGGCACAGCACGACACTCTGTAACTTGAAACATTAATCACCCACTCAACAGCTATCTACACCCGTGGTATTCCAAACAGCCTTTACGCCACCCAGGTTGGCTGAGCGGGGACGAAAACTGCTGCAACTGCTCAGGATCTCAGTCTGTGAGAACGCGCTGCGAAGGTTGTGCAGCTGGTTCTGATTTGCGGACAAATTTCCTTACTTTTAGTTTTACTCTGAAAACCAAGGCATGGAAAACTCCCACCCATTCAACAGCTCATTCAGTGACAGCAGGGTGCTTTTCTCAATGGTGCATGAAGACAGAATGAGAAAAAACCTGCTGAGGACAGGTTTATGCCACGTCCTGACTGCTGAAATAACAAAATGTCCTTTTCTATCAAGTTACCACTTTAACGACCCTCATCAGTCCACTTTCGTCTCTGACATATCTCAGGCCGTGACGGCACATGCGTGAAAAAGTCAAGGATTTAAATGAGTCAAGGTTGACAAAGTTGAAAAGTAAACGTTACCTTATATAAATACATTTATATGAGCATATAGCCTTCGTTTTCCATCAACACATTTTTTGAATGGAAAAGTTTTAGTGCCTTAAGGCCAAGTGTTCCAGTTGTTATTCTATAGTTGTTGCACTAAAGCAGAAGTCAGGAACATAGTACCTGAAGAGAAATCAATACCTTAGTAGAAGTATTTTTAAGCTGATAGCGAAGTTGTGCTTTTTATTGTAATTTTTTGCAGTTTTCTAAAGGGGTTTTCTTTCAGGGAAACATGAAAAAACAAAACAAAATGCAGATAAAGAATAATCAGGTTTCATCAACTGGTAAACGTGTAAGAAAAACAGTTGTTTTTACAAGTAGGGGATGCTGAATGGAAGTGGGTGCACTTGACCATTCAGCATTTCCATGTGTTTGAACCTATAAGAGGGCTTCAAATTCTCCAAACCTCTTCAAAGTCTCCAATCTGCCAAAGCACTCTGTAGTTTTGATTTAAATCAAGAGCCCTCTTCACAGACATAGAAAGAAAAAAATCATAGAATGAGAGACCTACACAAAGACTGCTTTTATAACTTTTCAAAAATACTAGAATCTACTTCATTCCAGCTGTACATTGAATGATTTTGGGTCAATATAGTGACAGATTATAAAACTTATTAAATTAATACCTCTGGTTATACAAACATCTATGAACTAAATCACTCTTACGAATATTTTCTGTTACACAAATCCAATAGGTTTTGCCTAAATCCATTGGTCTGTTTGGAAGTCAAAATATTATTTGCTATGTTTTTTTAATCCAATGATTTCAAGCATTCAAAGATGTGGCACAAGGGTCAAGAAGTTCAAATGGCTTGAGGTTTAACTACAAAATTGTTTAAGTCAGTGACATTCCTTTACCACAAATATTATAGTTTAGTCTCAAATGCAACAGTGACAACTGCAACCCAGAAAAGAAAAAACTGGTAAAGATATTGGCTGCCTGGCTGTATGGATGAAAACTTTTTAAACCAATTTTCAGTAAAGATTTCCATGCACATTTTCATTGTTTAACTAACAAATGAAGTTCTGTTTCTTCAAAATTCCCATCCATAATCAAGCACTGATTTAATTTAGCAAGAGATGAAAGTTGTTAGACAGACATGTAGCACAGAGTTGCCTCAGAGTGAAGAAAAGCTAAAAGAGGAGCTACAGGGGCTTCAGATTCTGTTGGAAAATGAACCAATTCCAGAAGAAGCAAACTGCAAGTGTTTTGCAAGCAGAACGCCACGCGCCAAGTCCGTGTTTACATCGAACCTGCTAGTAGCAGCGTGCTTTGCTCTTTTTCCCATAAAAAGCCAAGACAGTCTTGTTAGTTTTGGCTCAGTGTGGCCTTCAAAGAGCCTTTTATCGCCACATCTGGAGAGGAACCTATCTGATAAAGCTGAGGAGCGTCAACCTGAGACACCTCATAATCCCAACTGAGGATCAACGTCTTTTTAATCCTTTGGCTCATTGTTTACCTGCTTCCACCTTTGATGAAGCCCCACAGGTGTCTCTCACATTTATACTTTTCCTTCTCAAACACTCCTGGTTTACTTTGGATACATATACATTTAAATTCTGCAAGGATGTAAGATATTTCTGAGACATCTAAAGTCATTCAGAGTCAACCCACTCAGTTCTCAGGGGAGAGTGTATTTATACAAATCTGAGTGTGGGGGGCTGAGAGACCCTCCGTCTCTGTTACCACACACAGTCTAAAAGAGTGAAAAGCCAAAGCATATTACGGTGGTGTTGGCCTGGCCCATCAGGTCAGTCCAGGGTTTTTAAAGCAGCACCCCACACAATGGCCACCGTCGGATGACAAAGGCTGGGTTCAGACAACAAACAACTCGAGAACTCTGCACATAAAAGATTTATTGCATCGCGCAACAAAGGCCGCCCTCGAAGCTGCCTCTGAGGAAAACTTTAGGTCCTTCCATTGAGGTGAACTTCACTTCGTCACACTGCTTTCCTCTGGCTCTGTGCCACCCAAAGGACTCTGCAATAAAAATTCAAATTAAATTGGGGAGGGGAAGCTGCCTCCCAAGCAGAAAAACTTCTTCTGTGTTTTTTTGTTTTGTTTTGTTTTGTTTTTTTTAATGGAACTTCAAATCAAGAGATTATTTCTACACCTCATCTGAGCTCCTGTCATAAATTTAGTAGTGGATGCATCAGTGGAGGTGAAGGGAAAACAGCAAACAGGGCTGGAGCCAATTTTGCTTCATTTAATTCAGGAGCTTTCATTAGCATCCCTTACAGCTGGTTTATATTTCCACAAAACATGAAACAGGTGATCAATGATGAAATGAATTTGGACGTATTTTTCTTGCTGATTGTACTTGTGTAATAGATGCGCGGGAAAAACATCAAAACCCCTCCCACAGCACTCCCACTGTAGCACACGTCACACATCGCTAGGCATTAGAGATGTGACATTTGAAGACTATCCAAGTCGTTTAAACGTCTCCTTCCAGAAAATGATAGGAACCGAGTTGCGGACCGTAACTGTTTTTTTTTTTTTTGTTTTGTTTATTTTGTTTTCTTTACTTGTTGTAATATCTTTATTTTCTTCCTTCTTAAGAGGATGGATCTATTGAACGTATGAAACAAGATCAAGATCATCAAGATCCAGACTACAAACATGTTGTCTTGTGTTTTCTCAATGCTTCTTTCTCTTCTCTAATATTATCTCCTTGTTTCCCTTTTAATCTCTTTCTTCACCTTTCTCCATTTCTTTTCTGTTTTCTTTTCCATCTCTGTATAAAAACAATCCCAAAAGAATTTCTAAGAAAGCTGTGGAGCGTCATGGTGAAAGCCATTATGCTGCGCTTGTGAAAGTAAAACTGTTGGGCCTAATTTTGACACTCAGACATTAACTCTGAGTTTCATACTGCCGGACAGGACACGGTTTAAAAAAATAAAAAGAGCTTTACTAAGCATAAAAACAAGAGTGATAGCAAATAGTTATTTTTAGGCTTGTGCTGTTAGATAAGGAGTCAGAGGAGGAAAACTGTTTTGTTTTTTTCTTGTTAACCGCAGAGATAGAAAAAAGCCGTAAACATAAGTTGCAAGTTCCATCTTGCTAAGTTAACAACCGGCTTCTGGGAGCTGACCATTTTCTGCTAAATGATATGCAGAAGAACACACTGTAACTGTAAGTAATGCCTGGCCCTAAGCAGTCAACGGAAAATAATTCTTGGAGAACCATTTATGGATCCCAAGAAGCTCAGAACACTAAGTGTTTCTAAACTGGTGTCCTTCATCCGAGGGGCACGTAGGTTTAATTAAAAGCTCAGTGAGGCCCCCGCTCAGCTGTGTTTTTACACATCCCCATTTACCAAAACTTATAAGTGAGACATGAGAATGGAAGTATGAATCAGTCTTTAGTTAATATTTTAGGCCCACCATTAGTGAAAACCTGCGACTAAAAATGCTTGAAAGTTTATTGCCATCCGTCAGAAAGTGAATACAGGTAATAAAAAGATAAGTGTCTGTGGGTGAAAATCAGAGATGGTGGTTACAGGTTGCATGATTTGGCTGTCTGTTACCTGAGGCAGCGCAGGGTTCACGGGGACTTGAGATGTTCTTTTTCCTCTCGTTTCGATAAACAAGGTGGGGTTTGTTGTGCTCTTCGTCATATTCCTCCCCTGCCACACTGAGAAGCGGCTCCAAGAAGTATTCACCATGTTGTGTTGTAAAGGTTCCAATCTGCGGGGAAGAGAAGAGGCGTCATTGATGAAGCACACTCTTGCATGTGCGCAGGCTGTGTAGTGTGGGTTGAGCTTACAGATGGTCCACAAAATTTGTTTTGTTTTAGCCTTGGGTGCCACTTTTACAGACATGCTGATTCAGAAGTGTCCATTATTGCTCAGTGGCAATCAAATCAAGAAAAGTGGTGCCAAATTATGTATTACGCATTTATAAATGTGCAAGAAAGTCATAGTGGTTGTGAAATCTGTTTTATGCATTCATGCACAGGCTGCTACATGACAAGGGCTTTTCATAACTTTTGGTGTAAAAAAATGCACTTCCCCTCATATTCTGACAATGGGAGGAGTGGCATCATCATATGTGGACAGAGCTGCTGACAGAAGAATGCTAATATGGATTTGACAGCTTGGCCTCTCACAGCACTTCTTCCAGCCATGAGGTACGTTGATGTTTACATGGTAATTTCATGTGAACACTTAAGCAGGATACCAATCCCTGGAATGTTATCTTTAGGGCAGTATTGCTCCATAGCTGTCCCTGAAATTGATGGACATTTGACAGTGGAAAACATACTGTTCGGATGTTGAAATCAACTGTATTTGTTCCCAGGGAAGTGATAAATTTGTTCATCACTTCGTGGAAAATGTTACAAGCCATAAGTACAGCTGTCTTGACTAGCCTGTAAAAACAATGCACTAAAACAACAAACCTCAGAGACTCATATTGCACATTTTCCACTACCTGGGTCTTGTCACATTTTTGTTTGCTTCTATGGAGCCTTTGTAACTCTATTTTATAGCAATCAAAGTAACAACACAATTCAATTACATTATAACATTTTACCTATACATGATTTGTTTTTTGTTAAAGACAAACATAGAGTGTTGATGTCACCCAACATAAAACATAATGCTTTCCTGAACAAACTAATTTTGAAATGGACGTTGTCACAAAACCATATTTGCAGTCAAAATATAAACCTTTTCAATCACTGATGAAAAGCACCCGCTTTGGATGTTATTATCCATTAAAAAGACGTTATTAGTCATTATCAGTCCCATAGAGTGGCTTCAGAATGTCCCGACAGTGCCGCCTAGTGGGTTCTCTGTCCCATAGAATGGCTTCAGACTGTCAGCTGGTTAGTGTGAGACATAAAGCCACTAAGGTTTTTTTATGCAATCTGGTTAATATGAGGCATAAAACCACTACGAGTTAATTTTAAAGATAATGACATGGGCTACGATAAAGTAGACCTTTGTTGCAGGCCCAACGTAGGGCAATGGGTAGAGCACCGGACCACAGAGCTGGAGAGCCAGGACCAAGACCAGGCACGGGCAGTGAGAAAACAGTGAGAAAACCGTAAACTAACTACTATAACTATTAACCCACTAGGGGGCACTGTCGGGACAGTCTGAAGCCATTCTATGGGACTGATAACCACTAATAACGTCCATTTAATGGACTGATAACGTCAGAAACCGCTGTGAAAAGAAACTTGGTAAATTAGTACGGGGACTGAATTTATTAACATCAAATCATTCACCATGAATATGCTTGTGTAGATTTACAGTCATCCAGGCCATGATGAATCACTAAAACCTTTATAAAAAACAAAACTGGACTTTTATTTTGTAGATGAAGACAATCCCTGGATGGGATGAATAATGTCTTCAATTTCAGAATCGGTTTCTTCTGTTAAGAATGACACTGACTTACATGAAAAATCTAATATCTCCCCTATAATAAGCAATATTCTGTTATTGTCACATTGTAAAAACAACCACAGCTCTGTGTTAATTATTTCTACACAGAAATGTAGAAAAAGTAGAAAGGCAGCTGCTTATAAACTGCCAGGGCAAAAAAAAAAAAAGGTCACCACCTGGATTTAACTAAGCAAATAGGTTAGAGCCTTTCATTGGATAATTACTGCAAGGGTGATTATGTTTCAGCTGGAAACAAGTAATTTAACCCTAAGTGATGCAGTGAGTAGCTTCTCATTTGTTAAACAACTGTGCTGAAAGACACATCCTGTTGTCGTGGAAAAGATGTTAATCTGTTTCAGAAGGGTTAAATTATTGGCATCAAGAAGAAAAGCTCTAAGGAGATTGTTGAAACTACTTAAATCAGGTTCAACTGTGCAACACATTATTAAAAACTGGAAAGACAGCGAGGAAATATAATCTTCGGGGAAGGAAATGTGGTCAAAAAAAAATCAAAGATCACGTTTGGTGTAAATAAACTGTAAAAAGACAGTTGTAGCATGCACAACTATGTTTAATAGTCAAAGCACGAGCACTTCCACATTCACAGCGTGAAGGGAACTCAAGGGATTAGGACTAAACAACAGGGTAGATATAAGAAAATCACTTATCAGTGAGGCAAGTCAGAAAAAAGCAGCTTCAGTTTGTTGAGAAGCATAATGATTGGACTCTGGAGCAATGCAAGGTCAAGTGGTCTGATGAGTCCAGACCAACCCTATTCATCAGGGTAAGAAGAGAGGTGGCTGAACTGATGCACCCATCATGCCTAGTGCCTACTGTACAAGTCTGTGGGAGCAGTCTGTGATTCGGGGTTGCTGCAGTTGGTCAGGTCTAGGTTCAGCAATGTTGTCGGCCTAAAAAATGAGGAGCTGAGTACCTGAATATACTGAATGACCAGGTTATTCTGTCAATGAATTTTCTCTTTGCTTATGGAACTATCATGCTCCAATGACAATGCCAGGATTCATCTCCAAAGTGAGGTTACTCAAACAGCTGTTTGCAGCAGGTAAGATTGATTGTTTAACACTGTACAGCACCCCAATACAAATGATTTGAACTATCTCTTTAAGTGATCCAAGTGTTAGCAGAAGCTGTAACAAATAAATACACCTCATTTAGTCAGATTAGTGCCAGAGGTGAAGGGTTTCCCAGCATTAGTTCAGAGGAAGTTCAGGAACAACAGTCACTGTTTAGCAGTGAGTCCTGAACTGGACTTCATGACTAAGACTTCTTTTAAAACGAGGTCACGCTCCATCTCAGTCTCTGTTGCCACACACAGACTAAAAGAGTGAAAAGCCAAAGCCTATTAAGGTGCTGCTGGCCTGGCCCAAGAAATAACTGATGGCAATCTATTGTCTTCTCGACGCATTGACATCTTACGGGTGATGGGTTATTCACAAGGGACATACAGTGCAATCTCAAAATGTTATGAGCCAATTTTTAGGGGGAAGAAAGATTCATTTTTCAGTGCAGACTGAACATTTGTGTTCTTCTATTCTGTGAGTGGGCTGAGAGAGCCAGCTCCTCCAGAAACCAACATTTCCCACTGTGTATGAGCTATCCTTAAAGTTCCCATAAACCTTCATTGGCAGTTCTCTCCTCTCTTCAGTGTTTTCCTCTTTTCTGACCATCACAGCGCACAAAAGGCCAAAAGCCTTCTAAACTCTGCGTCTCCCCCCACTTCTACCTGCCCCCTGGGGGGGGATAGCTTTGAGTGACTCTGGACGAAAGGGGAACCCTTTTTTTTTTTTTTCAAAAATGACCTCTTTGTTTTTAGGGCTTAATTATTCCTTAATGACCTCATCTCAACACAATGTGACCTTGCCATTAAGCCCCAGTGATCAGATACAGACACATTTATGACCCAATACCCTCTGGTGCTGGATCTATTGTCCTGTCGCTCTCAGTGAGTGATAAGCAACAAAGACTGTTGAGGGGAAAAAAGGAAGCAAACGTTTGGATAAGCGAGTTGTGTATCAAAGTTGTGCAAAGAGGCAAGTAAATGCTTATTACCCTGATATTTGTGGGACACCTCCTATTTTAGGTTGCTGAACAAACAGAAAAATCTGCTTTACTTGTGTATTTGTTTGACAAAGTCTGAAGTTAATTCTAATACATGGTGGTCTTTGGTTTGGTGTCTCAGCAGGAGATCCATTTGAACATACAAGTTAAAATAAAAGCACAACTGTGTTATGTAACACTGTACCATATCTAAAATAAAAGTGGTCACTGATAGGGACCGGGATGGTAATATTCTAAGGCAATGGTCACTATGCCCCCCCACCCCTCCCGACACAAAATCCTGCTGGCGCGACTGAGGTCAACCCCCAACTCCTGGTCCAGTCACCTTATGTGACCCATGAAGTCATTCCCTTCAACAGTTATTGGATTCTTTCACACAGGAGTCAGCAAACAAAATGAAATGGCATCAACATTCCCACACGTTTACATATTGGATGTATTAACTGAATATTACTCATCAACATCATTTAAACATAAAGGGATGTATTTAATGAAGGGGTCGTTAGCAACAGTCAGTAAAAACTTTGGTGATCTGATCAGGCCTACAACGACAAAAACTTAGAGGAAAGAGGACAACTGGTAATGCTCGGGAAGTGACAACCAGTTCACAAAGTTTGCTCAACATCGCTTTTCAGAAGGTTGTTTAAAGGCATTAGAGAAGAGAACTCGTTTAGCAATTAGTGATGCCTCCCAGAAAAAAAGAGAAATACATAGATTTGCTTTTCCCCAGCCCCCATAATCAGACAGTTTTCTATCCATGTTTGAAGCTGTTGGTTACTACTCTTGCCTTGCATCAAGAAGTTTACTGACTCAACTTTCATTTGGGATTTCACTGGATTGAGTTGAAAAGTTCTCCCCAGGTTTTCCCATGTACTTTCATTTTCTTCTATAGAACAAAAACATGCATATATTACATTTTCTAGTGACATTAAACTGTCAATACATGTGACTTATGCTACATTTACACCAAGCACGTTGCGCGCCTCCAAAAATCTCAGAACGTACGCATCTTGATGCTGGACAGAGCAGAATGAGAAGCAGCAGCAGCAGCGGCAGCGGGGTGTGGGAGGAGCGTCTGCCCTTGGCGGGTGAAATAAAGATAAAATAAAGGAAATGGCTTTGATTTAATTACTAACGAGCAAGCAAACATTGCGCACAGAAGATAATTAACTCACCAGATGATTTAGAGGTGATTTGTTCGGTTAGTTTCGCCACTCCATAAGCTGCCAATTGACGGACTTTTATTTTTGTCCGGACACATCGGCACTTATATCTCCAGCCAGAAAATCCAACTGCAGACGGTCGATTTCAGGTAAAGATCTCCTGTTTGTCTGTTTCAGTTTAAGGGCTCGACACACGGGAGACGACGTCGCTCGCTCTCCATTCATTTCCTATGGAGCCTGTGCGGTGAGGCGACAATCGCTTGCCCTCCTCCAGCTAAGCGACCGGCGAAAATAGTGCAGGTGAAATTTTGCGCTCGTACACGTAGACGTGCACACATGAGCTTGTGATGCGACATATAAAAGTTGAAAAATGTTCAACTTTTGTCGCTGTCGCTTAGCATACAACCAATCAGCGAGGGTTTCATTGACTGACCAATGAGAGGAGAGTATGCTACACACTGCCGTTAGCTAACACTTTCACCAAGTGATTACTAAAAAGCTTTGTGGGAATTTATTGGCACCAGGGTGAAGTTTATGGTAAGTTTTCCCTCATAAAACTGTATCTTGGTGTGCGTTTGTTTTTCAATATCATTAGCATCGCAAGATTTGTTTAGGTTACACGTCCGTAATGCACACCCGCCTTCAGAGTCAAGAACCAATCAAATTTTGTGAAGACAAGCGACCTGAGAGCGCGATTCGCAATGCTGCGATCGCTGTCGCGTCTCGTGTGTCGGGTTTCACCCTGGCTGCGATGACAGCCGTTATTCGCTGTAGTTTGTCACTGCCCGTGTGTCGAGCCCTTTAGAGGGCAACATTCAGGAAACTGTCACGTGGAAAAATGAGTCTCTCGGATTGGTTGATGCGACGCGTCGAGCAGCAAAAGTTCAGATTTTCCAACTCATGCGATGGATGCTTGGGACGTGCCGCACCACTGCTTTGAGCCGCGCTGCTCCAAATGTGCCAGACGCACTGCTTGGCTTCAAGACGCCCCTAGATGCGCATCCACCTTTGACTTTTCATGTAAACCAAATGCTCCTGATGCTCAAAACACGTTTGGTGTAAATGTACCATTAGAGCGTGTATGTGCAATCATCTCTTTTAAGTCCCTCTGATGAACCTAACTCTGGTCCAAAGTCTACCCAATGACCACTGGAAATTGGTACTAAAGCTCCAACAGAAATAAGAAGGTGAAGAAAAAAAGAGGAAAAAATAGATAAGCAGAATAAAACTCCAAAAACTTTGTTATGGCTTTTGGTTTTACCAGACCTAAAATGGCCACCTTCAAAATTGGATCTGTTGCCTCTCAGGAAAAAAAGTAGCCAGATTGAATCCAGGTTAGGGACTTTTCTGGGTATGTTTGCGTATTCTTTCTGTGCGAGCATGGATTTTCTTTGAGTACTTTGGTTTTCCTTTCACCGACTCAAAAAGTAAAAAAACTGTTTTAGGCTATTGTGAGGTGTGAGTGAGAGAGTGAATGGTTGTTTGGTTCTATATTTGTCCCTGTGATGGACTCGCAACCTGTCCAGGGTGTACCTAACCCCTCACACAGTGACTGCTGGATATGGGCACCAGTGACCCCCACGACCTGGAAAGGAAGAAGCGGGCACAGATAATGGATGAATGGAAGGATGTTGTCACCTTTGGCAATCTCTGCAACATTTGTAGCAGTTAAGAGTGTGTAAACCTGTGATTGGTCAACCTGGGGTTCTTCTGCTGGCTGTACTTTATGAGCTTTAATCCATCTGTGCCTAATAAATAACCATTTACTTGTATTGTTTTAGTATATTTACTCTTGCCCAGGAAAAATGTTTCATCATGTTTTTGCCTAGCTGTATCCCCACGAAACATAATCTGAGCACTTACACACTGTGCAATATTATCGCCTAAAACCTTTGGCAATAACTGTTGGACTCAACATTTTCCGTTAAGAAAATATTTCATGAACCACTGCACAGATTTAATGAAACTTTCAGAAAGAAATCACTGAATGTGCATCAATTACTGATTGGTGCTTTGTCTCAGTCCAGGTCAAGTTGACCTCCACAGCTAGTGAATATTAGCCAACAAGATACTGGTAAAAACTGAGTCAATTTCACAAATCTTGAGATAAATGCTGGTGTGGTAGTAGCTGGGAGTCATCCACAACACATACTCCAAGTGCAAACAGAGGAGGCCTATAGGTTTGAACTCAAAACCATTTTACCACAAGATGGCCTTTATATTTAAAAGTGTATTCCTTCAAGAAATGTTAGTTCATTTCAAAGACATTTATCTGAGAAGTGAAGAGCACAGAAAATCCGTATACGTTGGAACTGATGCTTGTTCAAGTCTATCCTCCTCCATCCCCACCTGAAAGAGGAGCATCACCTCAAAGGTAACAGAGTTCATGGCTCCAGCACTGTTACAATCCTCACCTCACACTTCATCTAAAGCTGTGTTTTTTAGGACATACGTGGATGGGGAGTCTGCTGAAATGAGAGAAACCGTGTCAGCATCTACTCATTAGCTGAGTGAAGCTGACACCCCACCCACGCAAAAAATAAAAACTAGTAAGCGGATTGGTTAGTGCTTCGTTTGTGCAGGTTTGTGCAGTTAAAATGAGCGTTTGTGCTGTTATAGTTTTTGAGATATTAATCATTATGTCTTTAGGTCTTTAAGACGTTGTAATCCCCCCCAGCAAGCTCCGAAATTAACCAAAGTAGTCTACATTATTAGTGCTTCGTTTGTGCATGTTTGTGCAGTTCAAATTAGCGTTTGTGCTGTAATACTTTTAGAGATATTACTAGTTTTTAGTGTAAGCCGATGACGTCATCGTCCCCGCAGCAACTTCCGGAATGGTGACGTCATCGGCCCAATTTTTAACTTCAAATATCTCGAAAACTAAAGCTGCACAAACGACAGTTTTTACWGCACAAACCTGCACAAACGGAGCACTAACGAACTAGCCCACTTTGGTTTACTTTTGAAGCGATATGGGGTGATGGTGAACTGTAGATGACCAAATATATAATATTTAATATCTCGGAAACCAAAACTGCACAAACGACCATTTTAACGGCACAAACCTGCACAAACGGAGCACTAACCATTCTGACTATTTGATTAATTTTTTCACGTGGGTGGGGTGTCAGCTTCACTCAGCCCTACTCATTAGAGAATAAACTCACCAGGCCCGTGCACAGACTGAACACCGCCGCGTGCTCGCGCTCGGCGTCCACGTGCCCGCGGAAGAAGCAGTGGCGCATGTCGCTCCTCCTCGGGTCGCGGACGTCGGCTCCCAGGTGCGTCACCGTGTACGAGGGGGAGATGAAGCTGTTGTCCGCGCTCAGGTTGAGCTGGAAGCGCTGGCCGAACGCGTCGATCCTGTACAGAACCCGCGCGCCCTGCAGCTCATCCTCCGCGCTTCTCCTCCTCCTGTAGTGCATCCGGTGAGGGAAGGATTCTCCGAAGTCATTCACTCTTAGCGGAGTGATGATCTCATACGATGCCAGCTGTTTGACGAAGCTTTCTGAGGAGAGAGAGAGAGAGACAGAAACACAAGCGGTGAACTCGTGAACGCGTCGTTCGCACGTGAACTCAAAGCAGATCTACCTTGTTTTGGATGCAATCGGAAGGTGAGAGACTCTCGGACAATTGCTGACAAATGACACGTTAGTCCAACCAGCCAGATTGCAAACTGCATGATTTCCTCCCAGGCTCTCTCTCTCTCTCTCCCCCCTCGCTCCCTCTCTCCCTCCAAGGCGCGACCCTCCGTCTCCCTGCCTCTCCGGCACCCCCCAGCCCGGCTTGTCAGCAGCAACAGGTCGTGGGATCCGCGGAGGCTCTCTGTAGCGCAGCTCCGGCAAAGTGCGTCCGCTTCATCGCATCGCTGTTAAATCCACGCATCCGCCAAGGCTCTCTGTGAATTTATGACACATTCATCCCGCTGACGCAAAGGGTATTGCTGCCAAATGTAAACGACAAGGCTCTTCTATTTTTTTTCTTCTTTTTTTTAAACTGAAAGGAGGGGTCAGTGCCAAGTAAGCTTTCCCCTGGCCATCCCTGGAGCACTCCGTGCACCCGAAGCTCTCAATAACCGAGAAGCAACGCCCCTAACGAGCTCAGAGCCAATAGTGAGTGCGCCTGTTACACATGGGAGCTGAAGAAGCCAGGCAGTCACTGTGAAAATCTGTCTCAGTCAAATGTCTGTTACTAAGCACTCTTCATTATTGTGGGGACTAATCAGAAAATAAAGGTTTAGTGTAAACTGATTTATGGGAAACAGGATCAACTATGAAAATGATTCATTCAGCAAAAAATAAACTGAAAATATGACTCTAGGTTATCACCTGTCATGGTAAATAATGTGCACCAATACTTATCAGGACAATATCTCAATGGGACTTGCTTGTTAAAATAAAATAAAATAAAATAATAAATTGGATTAAAAACTTAGGTTAATGCAAAGGTGTCAAACTCAAGGACCACATGAGCATTATGAAGGCCCTCTAATGCAGCATTTCCCAAAGTTGGGGTCGGGACCCAAAGTGGGGTCCTGAAACATCAAGGTGGGGTCCTGAAAAGATTTTCTGAATCCATTACATTTTTGCCTTATTTGTTACAAAGGAGTGAGGTTAGTATATTTGAAATGGATGAAGTTAGCTTAAAAATATTGTTACTATGCCCATGTTTTATTGACCTGATACAAATGTTTATCATCCAAAAATAGTTGGGGGCACAGGTCTCTGCTACTGTTATTTTGTGGGTCAAAAGCTGAAAAGTTTGAGAACCACTGCACTTTGGTTCCCAAAGTTGGGCTTGGGACCCAATTATGGGTCATGAAGCACCTTATAATCTCCAGAAATCAATTTAAAGGTTAATAAAATAATTTCTGATGTAATATTTTCTCCATAATTATTACAAAAACACAAAATAAGTAAAATTAAGTGTTTTTATTTGTGTACAAACTGTTTAGATTGTCAAAAAGCCTGTGTATTTAGGGTTATTAATGAAGTTTATGTACTCAGATCAGTAATATTTGGGGTCACAAGGTTTTGCCATGGATATTTTGTGGGTCAGAAGACAAAAAGTTTGGGAACCACTGCTCTAATGTGTCAATGTATGGTGTTTAACTTCAACTAAAAACGAAGCGTCGTGTTCCTCGTCTCATGAGCACTGCTAACAAACAATAACTGAGCTCTACATGGTATTTCCTGCATAGAAACAGTGCTTTCACATGTTCTCATATTAACACTGAAAAGACTTGACTAAATGGGAAATAAATGATTCAGAAATACTAAGTAAAAGCAAGAGTTTCACAAACTATTGAGTTGTGGTGAGTAGCTGCGGTCTTGAATTCTGAACTCTCCTGCTTTCCAACAGGGAAACTGGAGGGGTGTTCCAACTTATATTTACGACTTCTAATTGGGAAATTCCCATCTCCCAGTAAAACTAGGCCCTGGCAAAAGCAGCTGGTGAAAATGCAGCTAAATATAAATTGTACACTGAAAAAAATGCTAAATATAAATTGTACCAGCTACTTTTGAACCCTGTGCACCCTCCACCTAGTGGTGGGGTGCCGTCATTTTGTGGTTAAAATAATCCGTATGCATTATTATGGGAGAGGTACTTTATGATCAATGATGGCTTAAAGCAGCATACACTCATCTTATAACTCAATACAGTTTTGAAGCTCTTGGGGGCCACATTTGGTTTGTGGGCCTTGAGTTTGACACGTTTGGGTTAAAGCATAGGTCAGGAACTTTAAAATGGGTTTCAGTGGAATGGTTATGGATAGTTTATAATTTACCTGTTTTCAAATGACTCCAGTTTGAAGGAACAGATTTTATACTGACCAGACCAATGAGCTGATGGCTTGTCTGAGCAGAACCAAGACAGAAGTGGATTTCTGCTGTCTGAGGTCACATTCATGTGGAAATGCAGTATTTATTTATGTATTTCTTCATTTATTTATTTTTTAATTATTTTCAAAGCATAACAGCATTTCTTGTTACAATGACCTATTCATGGTGCTGGACTTCTTCCCCAAAAAGAGCGCAAACAAACTAAGGAAATAAAGCGCGTAACATGAGGTTTTCATGCTGGCTATATTCTTCAAACTGATAACATAGATCTCTCTCATAATATGTGGGAAACACACCACCCATCAGTCAGTGTGTGTGTGTAGCTGCACCTGCACCACACATCACTGTACAAAAAGTGCATTTTTTGATGAACAGAGTTTATATCTAATCTCAGTTTTAGACTGAATAAATAAAAACATTAATGCAATAAAATATTAATGGGGAATATTTATTGTATTCCTTGTTCAAAGTTTATATTAAGGGCCTAGAATGTAGAAAAATGCAAGCATTCTAAACTTTTTTAAAACATTTTGTTCATAATCAAATTTGCAAACAGCCAGGATGTGAAAATTTAGATTGAATTGAACTTTTTTTTACCAGTACCACCATCCATTACAATGAGAAGACTTTCTTATTATGTTTGGAATGTTTTCTCAATATGTTTGAAAAGAAGACAGATGTTTTACATGTTTACTTTGAGAATAAAGTTTATTAAAATAATTAGGCATATTTGACATATGTAACAATTAGTGTGCAGGTCATCAGTTACTCTTTATTACGTCCTAAAATCTCACACATCTCGACATGAAAATGGGCAAAAATGCAAAAGTTGATCCAAACCCTGATTGTTCTTGGGCCTGTGTTTATATGGAACTGTCAGCTATATGTGTATTGAAACATTTGCTACAATTAACATCTTTAAATAAAGAAAAAGAAAAGAAAAACATGTTCTTCTTCCAAGCATGCCTCATCTGAAGCCTTTGTGTTGGATGTCAAAGCTGCATTCGAAGCTTCTGTATTATTTCCAGCAAACTCCTCTGCACTGCCCCTCTGCTGACCCCCTGCTGTGTGAGTCTCCAAGCATCCTGGGAGGTTTTCATAAGACTGGACCACTACTGCTCTTTCACTCTCTGGAACTTTGTGAGAATGTGCAAAAGAGTTTTGCTTCAAAAGCAACAAACCGTCTGTGACAAAAGCAGTTGCCTCTCAGAATGCAGGTTAATACTCTGCAAAAAATATCCACCTAACCAAGTCTTTATATCCAACTAAAATGTTGTCATATTATTTCAATAAGTCCTACCAAGTGCAATTAACTTTTTTCACTGGCAGATTATTTCACTTAATTTGAGAAAATATAATATTTTAAAATTAATTTTAGATGGTTAATATTTGCAGTGTATCCCTGCCTGGAACATCTGTGGATGGAGTTTACATGTTCATGCATGTGCACATGTGAGGTTTTTTTCCCCCACAAACCAAATAACATGCATGTTAGGTTATTTGGAAACTCAAAATTTTCCCGACGTGTGAGTGAGAGTGTGAGAGGTTGTGTGTTTCATTTGTCTCTTTGTGGTCCTGTGATGGACTTGTAACCTTTCCTGGCTGTCCTCTGCATCTCACATGTTTATAGGCACCAGTGATCCCTGCAACCCAGAATGGAAAAGCAGGTAAAGACAGTTGGCAGATGTTTGAAACTTTTTATGGTCCCATTTTGGCCACATTTTTAAAATAAAATGGATATTTTAGCAAATCAAATCTAACTAAAATATAAAAAGCTGTAAAATGAATGATGACTTGTTCATTCACACCCTGAGCCAAAAGCTGAATTTTAACTGCGCTTGTCAGAACATTTCCCTCTGGGTCAAGTAACATTTTTGTAGCAGTTACAATTTGACCTTGCCAGGGTTTTTTTTTTTTCATTCATTTATACACCAGAGCCCTTCCACTTCTCAAAGACCTTTTGTCCATCTTTTTTTTTTTATTTCAAACCTTTGAAATTCATATCACCTGGCCTTTTCCTCGCAATGATTACGAACAGGCCACAACCCCAACAAACAACTCCGTCTGGAGCCGAGGTTAAAGTTCTTCGAGTTCAAATACTGAGGTTGCCTATACTTATGCATCCATTCTCTTTTTTTCTTTTATTTTAACAAATAGAGTTTTACATTTTAATCTAGCTTGGAATGATGGAGTATATCTTTTAATCTTTACCTTTGAAGGTTTGAACCTAAAGTGTGAAATCGTTTTTACTTTTTAGAGGTTAAAATGATGATGAGCTCCAGATGTTTTTTTCTCTCACACTGTAACAAACACTACAGGATGTTAGTGGGGTCTTCGCTGCATGGCACACAGGTGCCGGAGCCTCCGGCAATCATTTCAGCATCTCTTTAGCCACTCATTCACCATCTATGGCTTTTATCATCTGCACTCCATCTTAAAGTCAGCCATATGACTTCACTGGATAGCTCATTTAGATGTAGTTTGGCAATCCATGTTCTCATTAATTCTCCACAGATGGCATTTTCCCAATTCCTGCCAGAAGTAGAGCTAGAGCCCAGCTTGAGCTGGTTTCTGCTGTAGGCATCTTCATGAAACTCATCAAATCCTGTTCTCAGAATTTGAACCTGTCCCTGTTCAAAGGTTCTGTTCATCTTAACCCCTGACTTTGCACTTACTATTAAAATCACTGCTTATGATGAAAGAAAGAACTGATCTGAGACTTGACGTCATTCATTGCGTTGTTGGAAATCTGATTTTGGTTATATGTTTCAGACGCATCCTTCTTTGGCTCTTGGCCAAAGCTAAGCTCTGAGTGAAATAAGAAGGATGGATGTTTTGGAAGTTAATTGCTATCCATGTTGCATAAC